CCATGTGTAGGTTCAACAAACTGAGGCTCTCATAGCACTATACTGAAGTAATTTTACATCATCATACAGACCTCCGTGTGTCAACCTAACCTGTAGGGGACGTGTCTGATTCATGTATTCAGTCACACTGAACAGCTTTAAAGGACCAATAACACTTTGTGTGCTTTGGTCCCGGCCTTCATGATGAATTATGCCTTCTTGACACTTTGCTTTGCAGGAATCATTACCTCTGTGGTTATACCACAAACCTCATGATTTTATTGCTGCAGTGGTTGCACCATGTGCCTCCTAAACATCGGCCAAAAGTTAGGAAGCACGGATACGAATACGGGATACGGTAATACGACAAAATCTAAAAAAGTAGGATACGGGTACGGCGGGGATACATTTGTAAAAAATATGGCTCTGTTTGGTTGTGAATTCAAAATGTAATTTCACAGGTGTATTTCAGTATGATGTTTGGTTGTGTGTTTGGAATTAACTTTCCAAACCTCTGCAGAGAGCTCTGTATTACAGCCGCGTTTTTTGTGAAAATTTTGGCCAGGGGAAGACCACCCGGACGTCCTTAGGGACTACCGCCCGGACGTCCTTGGGGACATCCACCCGGATGTCCTTTGCTGTATAGGATTTTTTTTTTTTTCCAATTGATTTATATAATTGGAAAAAAAAAATTCTGAAATTTTTTTAATTTTTAATGTGCTTTAAAATAATTTTGAGTTGTATATTTAGTTATGAGTTGTAAATTTTTGTATCACATATCAAATATCACATCAACAATTCCCCACTCAAATCAAACCTCTTTTCCAAAACTCTTTACCAAACAAATTTTCTACACTCAAATCATAATTCTACAATACACAAACTCAAAATACAATTCATACTCTCAAATCACATTTACAAAACACAACCAAACGCAACCTATATTTTTGTAATTTTTAATAATACACTATGCATAAAATAAATAAATAAAACATGAGTTCATCCATTTAGTTAATATCAAACGTTGATTTAGAACATACCAAATCCTAAAGCAAGCTAATAAAAAAATTTGTATTAATTCAGAATATCAATGTCAATTTTTGCTTGTTCCTCTTCATGAGAGAGTGGATAGAGGCATTTTTTGTGAAGATAAAGATAGAAAAGAAAAAAAAAAAAAATGAGACAAGATCGACCTTTAGAGATAAATGGTGCTGTTTCATTTTAGTTTTTTATATTTTTTTTGTGTCTTTATAGAGGCTAAGGTTCTTTCATTTTTTCTTTGTTTGATCGTTCCATAAGTTCTTAAGTAGTTGCATATGTTTGGTATTTTTTTTTTACTTGCATTAAACTTTATAATTTTACAATTTGACCCCTATTAAAATCTGTAAGAAAATTATGTTTTGGCCTCTGCCGTAACCCGAACATATCCTTCCCATATCCAAAATTGAAAAATAAAAAATAATTTTTAGATACTCTTCAGCCGTACCCGATATGATCAAGCCGTATCGGATGCGTATCCGTATATGAAAAGTATCCGATACGCGTACGTGGCCTTTTTTGAAGTATTTGTGTTTCATAGGCCAAAAGGCATGGCCTAGGAATGTTGAGCTATTCAGCATGTACCACGACATGACGCTCCAGGTACTTGTGGCTTGGAGGCTAGAGATGGAAGTTTCTCCATAATACCACACCTGCGCAAGTCAAGTTGCCTTTGAGCTATTCTAAGTTGAGAGAGAGAGAGAGAGAGAGAGAGACCTCACCATTGTGCTTTGCCGTCAAGAGACGATTATAATGACATAACTAAATCTTGACAGGCCTAAAGATATGACGACATTATTGGGTATTCAGTTGTGCCCCCCTTACATCATAGATAACACGCTTCACTTTGATCTCTGATCTTCCGCTGTCTTTCTTTCTTTTCCGCTGGTTTGCTTCATCTCTCACTTATGCACTGCCTCTATCTCCTGTGTCTCTACATGTTCACTCTTTGGTGAAACTCAGACCATATAGGAACCCCCTTTCACTCTAAACTATGATTTATTTGTTGATTAAATTTGTATCATGGTGAGTTTGTCAAACATGTGTTGCATTACCATGGGGAGCTACCAAAATTGTTGGTATCACTCTTAAAGACATTTTTTTGCTTCAATCATATTTTTCAATTTTTTGAAATGAACACTCAATTACTTTATTTAAACCAAAAGAAATTCTGAAACTTGATGAAACTGGAAATAGTAGGAGTGTGCAAGGACATTTGGGACAATCATTAACTATTGGTGTGAACCTTTCTATTCACATATATAGTTTTTCTTTTATCCAAAGTTAGATTATGTGTATGTAGTTCCTGCATGAATGTAATCTACATTGTAGAACATCTACAAAATTGTGGTATCATTGGAGAAAATCCTATGCGTCATTGGTCTATGAACCAGATTACATGCAAGTTAGACCTGAAGAATGCTGATTTTGTGATCGATGACAAACCAATGAAGCATGTCACTCCAGGTGGGCCCACCATGTCTTCTTCAATAATGGTAAAGGCGCATCAGCATGACAACATCAAATAATTCATTATCAATTTCCTTAAGTTCACAAGTCTGCTGATAAACCTCTGACTAAAACAACTATTTTGTTCCACTATTAGTTCTTGGAAAATTTATTTTTTGTTTTATTTTACTTCTCATTTTTGAAAAAGTTATCTAACTTTTCACTGTCCAAAACGAAAGTGACATACTCGTTAAGTAGTTGAGCCAGATATCAAATTGCATAACTTTTTAGTACTAAGTTCCATTCGCGTGTAGAGTGTCTGACTGTTTGTGCATTGACATAGGTGTGTGGTCATGCCTAGTCATCTTAATAAAAATTGTGATCGACCTACATTGAAGTCATATCCTTTTTGCAGTTATCTTGGTTATGTGATGGATCTATAGTTTTGGTATTATTCCAAAATAGCTTGTTAGTGCTAGAAAAGTTATACTCTGGATTATCTTGATGGTTAATGAGTGGGTTGAGAAAATCAAAAGCTTGGAGATTGAAGAAGAAGAAAGAGAAGGATAGAAGAGTATGAAGATGGTAAGTTAGCTATACGGGGTGTAGCCATGATAAGTGGCACCTTTTGGTTGTGCAATGAGCTTTACATCATGGCTTCCCTATGAAGCCTCGCTCACCATGTGTCACCACCAACTAGTGGATACATGGGCCAATCAACAAGTCAAGCACCTTGACTGCGCTTGGCCTTGCCAAGTGATACGAACCCCTTGGGTAGAACTCACCCTTGAAAACCAGCTTGCAAGGGGAGGGTGCCTAAGAGGCTTATATGCATAAGGCCAAGACCTATGTTTATTGATGTGGGATTGTAACATACCACCATGCTCCATAGCCGAAGTCCATGATGTACTCTATCGACACTGACCCAGTGGTCACCCTTGCTCACTTTATGGCGGCTTCAATCAACTATCAGTATTCGACACCTTTTTAGGTGTCTTAATCTGGCCTGTAAATTGCCTCCTCCGCAGCTTGAACTGTAAAGCTGCACCCATCTGATCCCATATTTGCATAGGTGCGAGTCATGCAACCTATTCCATACTTACTAGACGTGGTGGCTAGCTTTTACGCCAAATGATATGAACCCCTTAGGTAAAACTCACCCTTGAAAATCGGTTTGCAAGGGAAGGGTGCCCAAGAGGCTTATATGCACATGGCCAAGATCTATTTTAACCGCTGTGGAATCGTAACACCAGGTTTGCTTGTGCTCAGGCCTGGTTCACTCAATTATTGACTCATTAGTAGCCCCCGAGCAAGTTAGGTTCCCCTGCCATACGCCCACCGAGCAAGATCTCCACCTTAGAGGATAGATACTTCAACCACAATGATAGATACTTCAACCACAATTACCTAGGTTGGGAGTGGGGCCCATGTGCTGTGTTTGGGACCACTAGAGGTCTTGTGGATTGGAGGCTAGAGCTCAAGGTCTGTGCAGAGGCTTGCCGAGCTCCCCTTTGGGGATGAGGCATGCTCGGACCAGTCTTAGAAAGAGGGGCTTTGACCAAGACATGACACCTCGATGGCTGCTTAATGGCTGTATCATACCTAACTCTGATCTGCTCTAACATATCCAAAAGGGGATGTATCATACCTACCCCCTGTCTGCTTATAATACACCTCTCAAGACTGCATCGGGGGTTGCAAGGTTTTTCTTTCCCTCCATTTTGGATATCCAAGGGGGTCACTCCACGTGTACTTGACTGAGCTTCCCTCTTGGCTTGTCACTATATAAAGGGGACCTCCATACAAGCCATGAAACTACAACTACCTTTCTCTCTAACACTCCAATTCTCCACTGCCACCCTCTCTTGCTCTTAAGGCTGTTCTTGACTTTCGTCTCCCACCTTCGGTGGTCTCTGGCCATACTAGTGCCTGCCATCTTTCAGAGGGCACTGCTCAACCATCTCACCCCACTTCTCCCACTGTAGGCAATTACATTTAGGTTCTTAGCCACTGATGTCTAATAAAGAATGCATGACAATTACTATTTTAGGCTTTAAAATATCACTCTATTTGTTATTTCAAAACAAAGTTGCTTTTATCCTTTATATAGAAATCAAAAGCTTGGAAACCAGGAAAACCTTGGAGCCTAGAACAGCTAGGCTTTGAACCTATGAAAGCAATTGTGTTAATGACATATTGGCTATAATTTAGGTTAACATACAGGCTACAAATGTAGCCAATATGCCCACTAGAAGTCCACACATTGGTAAGTCCACAGCAGAAACTAAAAGAACCAGAATACTTTGAAGTAAAAACTCAAGAAAGACTAAAAGCAACATAATAATTGAAGATCAATCATTCCCTAGGTAAGCTGGGGAAGGTTCTTGCCAAACAATTGAAGACCAATCATTCCATTGACATTGATGCTTCAGTTTTTCTCTTTTGGTATTTTCCACTCGTTTGTTTTCTTTTATTATTATTATTTTAATTCATTGACTCTGGTTGCTTGCTTGTCTATTCAATTTTTATTGCAGAATATGGGGATGTGACAGACATTTATAGTTGGTAATTTCTGTCATCTATTCTATATTATTATGTGGCGCTGCTACTTAACATTTTGGGCATTTGATCAATGATTTTCTTTTTATGGTCTTGTAGAATTTGTAACCAAACCAAACCAAAACAAATCGAATCAAGCCTTAAGTCCCATCAAATGGGGTTGGCTACATAAATCCTTCTTCTTTATTCGACTCTATCGAAGGTCATATTGTATTTGTAATTTTTTATTTCCTTTATATTCCATAAACTGCAACCTACTACTTGCCACTATTGTTGTCATCTGCTAAAAAAATCTTACGTTCGCAAGAGAACTAAATAGACAATTTATAATGGATAAATTTAGGTAGGTATGAGATATTGAACTGCTAGAAACTCACAGTAAGATGTCCTACTAATATAATTGATACATAAACATTCTTCTGTTTGATATTTGTTTGGCCGTATGTAAGCTTGGGAAGTCTTATAATGAAAATTAGTGTAATTGAAAATCAAAATTTTCCTACCTTTTGCTAATGAAACAGATTGTAGAGTGAGATCATAAATCCACTCATGATCTTGCCAAGCTTCATTTGTCACTCTATGGAAAAAAGGATGTTGGAGAGAAGATGGCTGTATTGCAAAAAGTTGGTGTTGTTTGGTCTAGTTGATATGGGAACGCGACAAAAATAGCATTTTAATAGGAGCCGTACATGTGCTAACATACCAGAATTTAAGTTGCAGAACTAGATGCCTGTATTGGAAAAAGTAAGTAGGCATTTTTTTGGTTCAACGGGATTGTGAATCCAATATCAATACCCTTTCTAAAAAGGCCTTGCACAAGTGCTAGCATCACCAGGACTTGCAGAAACATGCGGAATATAGTATAGCTTTATTGAGATTCTTGCGGTTGTTGGGAGGTGCGGGGGTAGCGAAGGAGGATGGTAGAGGGGTGACTGACGACTGGCAGTGGGTAAGAAGAAGAGAGGAGGAAGGGAAGAGAAAAGAAAAGGAGGGACAAAAATGGAAAATTTCCCATGATTTTGTATTATTTTTTTTTTGCTAATTCTCATTCTTAGTGTTATTAACAAAAAGTTCCCCTTTTTTTGCAAATACTTACCCCAATTCCCATTTTACTGTAGTTCTTCCTATAATTTTTCCATCATAGTTAACATTATGTCAAATGACAAGAACTTGGCAATCTCTTTAAATATTTTGATCCTTTGAATAGTAGATTTGCTGATGATGATCTATCCAAGGGTATAGTTAATGACGTCTCTTACCTATTTTAAAGAGGTTCGCCTCTTCTGATTTTACTTGCATAATTATTTTTTCTTTTCAACAGTGTCGTTTTCTACTTATGTCTTGGTTGGGGAGTCTTTGATGCCTGAGTCATTGAGATGTTTTTGGTTTTGGTGGAGTAGTTGTAATCGGAGTGTTAGGAAGGCATGAAATGCTGTGCATTTGAGCTTTGATCTGGTGTATGTGGTGAGGGTGGACTTTTGACTAAACAGAGCTCAAGTTCAAAGTTTTATTTGTTTATTTATTTATTTTATGGCTTTGCAGTTTTGGGTTTCCCTTTCTGTTTGTACAGTTTTGAGAGTTTTTTACACCATGTGGTTGTATGTGTGCTCCCTTTATTGGGGCTTTTAACAAAATTTTTACTTTTTGAAGTTATTTTTTTCCTGTTCACGTCATTATATCTTTTTTTGTTTTTGTTTTTGGTTGGACTTGGACACACCATATTTTTTCTGTAGTTGTTTATTAAGCTTAAAATAAAATCCTGTTGATTGGTAAATGTTATTAGCAAAACTTATTGGAGTTATGGGTTTGTCTAAAAAATTTCACCATGTTGAGTTCCGATGTGCTGCATACTTGCCACTTTTATGTACCAGAGGATATCTATGTTGTCAGCTGTATTTTTGTTTTTGCTGCTTTCTGTGCTGGTTGATACCACAGAAATTTTGTTAAGCTGTATCAACAAACTGTTCTTTACCTTCTTTAATAAAAAAATTATGATAAACAGATCTTGTTTGAAATTCATTTTATTTTTTTGCCTCGCCGTCTTATTTTCCTCTCTCTCTCTCTCTCTCTATATATATATATATATATGTTCATTTCTTGAGTATTAATGCAAAATATTGGGTACGTGTAAACATGTTTACGTAGTGATACATTCAATGAGAACCGCCCACCAACAAGCGACCCGTCATATATTTCATCCCTTGGAGCTGCCGTTTATGAAGCAATGTCCAAAGCAGATAAGGATGCGGTGTGGCTAATGCAAGTATGTTTCTTCTTCTGCCCACTCCTCTCTCCACCCGTTGTCATCCTTGAGTTTTCCCTCTGGAAACTCCTTTTATGATGTCGAAATGTTAGTTTTTCAATCCTTATCATTTACTCAACTCCTTTTGTGTTTTGGGCATTAACAAACTGAACATCATAAGGAACTGAAGTATGATTTTGTGGAAGAACATGAGTTAAAACCTACAGAGAAAATCAAATAAAGGACTCTTTTGAGTACAAAACTGAATAAGAATAATTTCCTTGAGAAAAAGAACAACAGAGTGATTGTTAAGAAGTTAAAATTGGTATAATCCCAAAATTCTTAATGCACATGCATTTTGATCACTAACTTCTAGCAACCTTGAGCACTATGAAGTAGATCTCCTAGGGGAATGCATGCATTGATTGTACGCCCACATGTCATGATCGTATCCCTTTTTAAAATTTTTTATGCTTTTGCCATACACATGCCGAACATGCTGGTGACATGTGTTTGGTTCTCAAATACATTCGGGACATGACCAAGAATAAAAAATATATTATTTTTTTTGTCTCCCAACCGTGTCGTGTCCTGCAGTTTTTGAAAATTGTTGGGTCACTGTGTTTGTGTCATGTTGTATCTGTCTCACATAATTGCTTCTTAGCTTAAGCATCTATTTTTGCACATTGCTACTTCATTACTCAGGGGTGTGTATTCACAATATTATTGATGTTTGATGTTATGAGAATCACAATAGATTGCAGTGGACATTTGACATACCCTAATGTGTTAATAGATTATTGAAAGATAGATAATAGCTCCTGCCTGTTTTTTATGGGCATGGATTTTAACAAATCAGCTAGTGCTTTGATTAGTTGTACAGTACAACCAATCAAAGCATTAAAGGTTTGGCAGTAGTTGTTTCCTTTTTTTAATATTCATAAAAGACCATTTCATTCTTGAATATTTGTTCAAAGAAGTTATAGTCCAAGAGAAGTCTAACAAACTTCTAGTTTTAGAACGATCCCAAATGTTGATCCTCACTAACTTCAAAAGGAGAAGACTGATAATTATTCTACTTAGGTAGAAAGGACTCCTTGTGATGCTTGCTCAGCTCAAACTAAATTTAAAGTAGGATCTAAAAGTTCCAAAAAGTTCAATGAAGAATACCGGCCAACAATGCCACAATGAGAAGATAAAGTCACTTAAACAGCAACAAAAAATCACATATGCCATCAAGGTAATGAAGACTATTTTCTTCATGAGCTTCATTTGATTGTCTTCCTTCTTGTGATGTTCTAACAAACAAGAAGGATAGAATATTAATAAACAGGTGAGTGCGTTAGTTATTTACTAATGTTCAAGAAACTAAAAAGGAACTCACTAAATAATGCATGAAAGAAAAACTAAGAGATGAGGTTGCCTTAAGCATATGAAATACTCTATTATGCTAACCTCCATTTGTAAGATGAAACTAGTAAGAGCAACAGATATTTTTAAAGCTTATGTAGCTATTCAGGAGAACGAAGAAGCCTTACCAATCATGTGTATCATGAGTACATGCGTTCTTGAGTCGATGACCTTAAAGAGTTCGAACCTAAACTGGTACCATTACATTTGATGGAAAAAGGTAGCAATATAATTTGCAACTAGTATTCTTCCTTTTGATCAGAGCAGTGTACTCCATCACAGGTTACTTATCAGGGGAAAAAAATTTATACTCCTTCCCAGAAACAGTGATAGAATCATTGATAGAGGCTCTTATTGTAGTCCTCGAAGCACTCACATTTTTTTTGATATGACATATTTGCCTCATAAAAATACATAACTGATTACCATAATTAGCCGATGGCTTTCTAACTTGGAAGCTCAGACACTCCAAATAGGTTTAACTATCTGTATCCTATCTGATACATATCAGATACCAATACGCGTTGGATATGTGCAGATACGTATCTTTGTATTATTATATAATATATATTTTTGTGGGGTTAAATGTTTAGATACGTTTCCAATGCTTGGGATATGGGATGGGATATGATGGGGATGTGAGAGTCTAAGAAGCACGGACACTTCTAAGAAGGTGACGTATTCGTGTCGTATCCGTGTCGGACACCGATACTCTTTGGACACTCTCAGGACACGTGTCCGACACTTTTCAAAACGTATCCTATTTTTAAAATTTTTTTAAAGACTTGGACACTCTTTGGACACTTGAAGGACATACGTGTCCATCGCTTAAATACAAGTGTCTAACAATTAGACATATGTGAAATTAATTATAAGTTTGAACAAAACAACTTAAGATACAATAATAAAACAAAAACTATATAAATTTATAGGAATTAGTATCATATTGTATTTTTTATTATCTTTTTAATGATATATTCATATATATAACATATAATAAATATACAAAATTACATATTTCATGCGTGTCCCTCATGTGTCGTGTTCTATATTTTTTGAAAATTAACGTGTCAGCGTGTCCGTGTCGTACTCGTGTCGTGTCACGTGTCCGTGTCCATGCTTCTTAGGTGAGAGTAGATACATTGTCGGAAAAATGAAAAACTGTAGTGTTGGTCTTGAAGAAAAGCTTTCTCTTCTTTACACACACCCTTGCTTTCTACCTTCATATGTTCAAACACACATCAAAACAACATAAAACACCCCAAAAAATAAAATGAGTCACTATTGTAGAGTCCTCTACCATTGTCACATAACGATCTTTTCTTTTGAAGGTAGCCCCTTACAAGTTGGTAAGCATACCACTCCATTCTTGTTATATTGTCAATCTCCATGCCCAATGTCCAATAGTGCTGCTAATAGCACCCCATCAATTATTTTGGATCCTCCATTTTTTGACTTTTTTTAAATTTTTTTTATTTATTTTATTATGATGATAACCTTGATTGAAATTGCTAAAAGGGACATCACTAATTTTGGAACACTCCATTTCACAATTGAGCCCACATACCCACTACATCATGAGTTAGGGTTTATGAGAGTACCCACTTCCATTATCACCCATCCATCTTCGCCAATTCTCACCTTCAAAACCTACCCATCCTCAAAATCTTGAAAACCCTTTGGCGGCAATATTTCGGCTGCAACGGTGGCAACCATTTGATTGCATACACTTCTCCGACAATGACAATGAGTAGAAGTTTTTCCGGCAACCATAACTCTATGAGACGAGAGGAGTACAACAATAAAAGCTTAGAAGTGGTTCATAGTTTTGACGGTATTCTTAGGCCAAGTTTGGGAAGACTAAATAAGTGCACTTTTGGACTTTTTATGAAATATGGGTTGGGTTTGGGTTGGGTTTGAAGTGATGTGACTTAAATAAGATGATGTGATTTAAATAGGATAGTGACTTTTTGACTTTTTAGATTTTTTAAGAGTTGCCAAACTTGGCCTTAGTTTAGAGGAGATTGGTCTTATAAGAGCAAGTTTCTTGAAAAAAATGGCAAAAATAATAAAAATTGTTCGTCATTTTTTCGAGATTGAACTCATGAACATATGACCGAAATTTGGGAACACAGGCCCGAGCATTGTTTATTTGTTCAGGAACAGATAACCGAACATTTCTTATTTGTTCGGGAATAGATAACTGAAGCAGCAACAACAGCAAAAGTAAAAGAAACATGCAAACAAAGGAGGTCGGACCACCCTTAGGTAGTTGACCGGCCGGTTGATTGGGGGGGGAGAATTCTTGCCCAGTTTTGCTCACACAGAGAGCATACAAGTACGGTGAGGCCATGGATGAATGACAGAAAATTAAAGTGGATTGTGCTGTGTGTGTGAAAAGAGGTAATAGAAAAAAAAATCAAACAGATTGACGAACCTCGTAATGAAGTAGAGAAAAAACTTCTTAATTACACAAATTTTTTCCACTGGTTTTGGGACGGTTCCACCGTTGTGGATTTAGTTAGGGTTTTGGGAGGGAAGCTTTTTGGGGTGTAGGAGTGTGCATTTGAATGAGTGGAATCTTTTTATAATGATAATTTTTGTATTATTTGGGGGGAGAGAAGAAATTTTAAGGATTTTACAATTTATAAGTAGGGGATCAAAAAAATGGGGGATCCAAAATAATTGGAGTGCTAATAGCAACACTCAATTTCAATCTTATTCAGCTGCATCAAATTAGGGTTTTTCAGGGTTTCTAGTATTTTTGGATTTGATTTTGAACAAAGTTTACTTTCAAAGTTGTGAAAATTGGTGAAATAACCTCGATTGGCATGCATAAGAAAGACTTGGTTCGTGTTGTGCATTTGTTGTATAGAAGAATGCATTGGAAATTGGAAGAAAGAGAGAGAGAGAGACCAAGTCACATGAAGGGGTTGTTTATGTGCATTTATGTTTAGATTTGTGAATTTTGAAGGCAATTCATTTGTTGCTGTCTATGAAGCATGGACACCTCTTTGGAGGTTGCGTATAGGTGTCGGACACGGACATTCTCCGGACACGTGTTGGACACACTGGGATACTTGGGACACGTTGCAGACATGTTGGGACATGCAAGGGACACATTGAGGACACGTTGAGTACTATTTTTTTCAAAAAAAATTATAATTTTTAATTTTTTTACTAAAATAGCACACCTAAGGTTGATAAATTTGGTAAAATTAAATAGTTGACATAAAATACATATTAAATATTTAAAAATATACATGTAATAAAAATATATGTTTTGAACGTGTTCCCAATGTTTTGTGTCCATTTTTTGAAAATTTATGTGTTGGCGTGTCCGTATCGTGTCATGTGTCCGTGCTTCTTAGGTTGCTGTCATGATGAGTGCTTTGTAGTTGGTCTCTCTACTTGGCCATGTGGTGCATGTTTTGAGATTTTTAGAATTATTTAGGATGACACTTTTATGCTAAAAGGAAAGAAAAAAAAAAAACTATCCTTTTTTAAACTATTATTAATATTAAAGATTGATTTAAAATTGCAATTATCATTATTATATAATAAAAATATAAAAGTAAATTGCAATTAAGGAATGATTAGCCCTTTTTAAACTATTAATATTAAAGAATGATTTGAAATTGATATTATCATAATTATTTAATAAAAATATAAAAGTAAATTTTATTATTGACGTATTCCTTTACTGCTTAGTATGTATTTTTGGCTAATGGGAACTCAGCCTTAGCTGATCCTTTGGTAGTCTTTTTGGGGAGCTGCGTACATATTTTGTCTAGTCACAAGGACCTGGTTGAAGGTCTTAAACAACTGTGGATGTACTTGATAAGAGAGATAAGATTAGGATCAAACCCTTAGAACTACTTGACCAATTAAAAAATTAACCAACTTATGCCACCTTAAAATTGGATGTCTTGAACTAGATGGTGAAAAAAGGGTGGTCACAGATGTTGCAAACTGCTGCATAGATATCTAGTTACATGTCCCTTTAAATTCTTTTCCATTACGTGATTATATATTTTGTTGATACCCTGTTGCTTAAATGGCTTTATGACTTAAAGTTGACTAATTTACCAACATGCAGGGTTGGCTATTTTATTCAGACTCTGCATTCTGGAAACCGCCACAAATGAAAGTATGAACTCTGTAAGAAGTAGAAATTCTTATAATGTGGCTAGTCCAATCATATCTCATTTGATTAGTCCAGATTATATATTCTTTCATTTGGCTTCTTGAATTCCCATTAAAGTGCATCTATTTATTTTTTATTTTTATTTTTTGGTTGCTCATTTCATGCTTATAAATTGCCAGGTGAGTCTAGGCCAGGGTCCTGCTAGTAGCCTGGTTGTCTAGGAGGTTTCCCTGGCGAAGGATGATATGTAGCACATCTTTTGTAGGGTCCATTACAATTTTATTACGTAAATCTGTTGCTATGTCTGACAACTCTTTAAAGTAACTTTGATTATATTTGTGGCATATTATTTGGTGAGAAGTATAACTGAACAATAATCATATTCAGGTACATCTTCTCTGGCATTCAAATGCAGGATAAGGATGTTAAACATCCTATCTGGTCCTTGTGTCTTATGTCTACAGAAACAAATGTGGCGTAAGTGTCATCTTGTTGACCACACTTCCTAGGAGAGAATTTAATTACTCCAGATTCATCAAATTTCTAAACTTTTCACCATATTGGTCGTTTTGTTATTGCATTCAAACAGAACTAAGTGATGATAGTCTTTTAATTTCAGCATTTCATAACACGTGACTGAAAGTGAAGGACCAAAATTCAGTCTGCTAACAAATTTTCTGCTTACCTCTTATGTTTTCCTCCATTGGGGGTTCTATTTTTCAGTATTGCCTTATTACCTATTGCTAGACCTGAAGAGCTGTTATCTTAAACATACTGTTGAAATTCAATTTAGAAGGCTTTAGCGGAAAAAAATAAATCTCTTTGCATTTGTTATGGCTAGTGAATGCTGCATACATGACATGGGTTTTTGTGGTCTATGCTGCTTAACATGGGGTGTCCTGTTGATTGATGAGACTAGGGAACTGGTCAAATCAAATGTAAGACCTGACATGTGGATTGAAATTTTGGAACACAGACTTTACACTAAGTTGGACAAAGTCTACTGTGGAACTTCTCTGAGAAGAAGCATAAATATGAACATTGGGTAACATTGACAACCAGGTGATACAGTAGTAGTCAATTTTGTTATTTTGAGCCAATTATACACAAGGGAGGGATTGAGAATGATATTGGTTGATAGAGTTGGAGTTGAACTATTAAAGGTGAGATATGTGATACGACATTTAGGAGACTGTCACATGATCACATTTTGAAGGTAACATTATTAATTACATTGAGGCCAATCACTTTTTCTTCAGGGGAGATGTGTAAGAATTAACTAATTTAATAGAAAGCATAAATGTGGATAAGTGGCAAAATTATGAAAGATGCTGATTTGGATTTTGCATTGCGATAAGGCTTCCCAAGTGACTATGCGCTTTAAGAGACATTGATGACTATCTAAGCAATTAAGTGATGCCTTGGCTTCTTGCTGAAGGAGCTTTCCTTACTGTTCGAGAAAAAGGTGGAAAACACACACACACACACAGAGGATAAAGAAATGAAAAAAAAACCAATTGATGGAATTTGGAGTGATGATATATGAGGTGAAGTTAACATCTTTTTGAATCATGTATTACCTTTTTTCTGTTTTCCTTTTATTTATTATTATTATTTTTTTTATTGATGGTACGGTAAACATATCTTTATAAAAAATTGCTTTGTGAATATTTTAACATGTTCATGTATGCAATTTCAGTCCATGATGCTTGTTTTCTCCTCTCGTTTTATATGCTTATATTCAAGATTTGTGCAATGTTATATCCATCTCTCCTCTACAAAATATCGTTAATCTAGACACGATATAACATCAAGTTATTATTGTTGAACTCCAAGGCATAAGCAAATAAACAACAAACATAATACAAGTGTTTGTATATAAGAGTAATAGATATGTAACTTTGTATCATGTATATGCTCATATACACGTGCATATGAATGTGTGTCTATCCTCACCCTGCACTGCTCTCTTAAATGTTAACAAGGTATTCTAGAATCCTTACGATATGGAACTTTTAGTCATAATTTACACAAAACTTATCCCAAAAAAAAAATAAAAAAATCATAATGTCCATAATATATTCAACAATTATGTCTAACCATGCTTTTGAGGCACACAATAGTGTGTTATAAACCAAGCATAAGTGATTCCAAATTTTAATGAATGCATAGGATATCCTTAACCAGTGGTGCTTCTTAGGATTGTTTAGGTGTTTTGACAGCATTGTTAATTAAAATATGACTCTGGAAGAAAATTTAGCATTAGTCATGTCGGGGATTATTCAACCAAGTTATTAAGGTGGTTTTCTATGTGCAACGGAAATCTATGCTAGTAAGGCTATGTCATAGGTGGAAGGATTTAGAATGCAAGAGAAGCTGGAAGGTTATTAACGAAAGAATCTTAGAATTTCATAGTAATAGAATAGAAGATAAAGTTTAAATATTGCGGTTTGACAAAATTGGACACTTGCCCTAAATAAGGGGGATAGGAACGGCACTGCTGTGGAATTACCTTAATAGGAGTTCTTCCTCCTTTGGGCTGTTAATTTTTTTATTTTTATTTTTTTTGTTTTTGTTTTTGTTTTGTTTTGTGTTGTTGTTTTTTGTGTGTGTGTGTGTGGATTGGATCCAGTCCTTTTGCTTTATAGTGGATGAGTTTGTGGCATCTGGCAACTTTTTTGAAGACTTTTAGTTGAGCCCCTATCTCTAAAGGGTGAGGGTGGTGGCTTTGATTTGGTGGAAGCCCCTCCAAGATCCCTGGTAAACTCGGTCATGGGGGGGCCTTTGCCTTCATCTCTTGAAGAGCACAAGGTCACCTCTCCATCAATACAAAGGAACACTAGAAAAAATGTCGTGAATTCCCCCCAGAATCCAAGAATAAATAGCAGTTATTGATGGGTGGCTTTCTTGTGGTAGTAATTGCGATCTCATTCCATTTTTGGAGGATTCATTCCCTGTTGTTCCTGCAGCTGAGAAGCCTCAAGTTCCATCCCCCTTACTCACCTCTTAATCTATAAAAAAGCCCTTTCCCCTTTCTCCAATAATAAGGTAAGCCCTAGAACCGGCAGAATTGCCGATCCTATCTTTCCTTGAAGTAAGTCCGGAGCGGGAGTAAGACTTGAACCTTGGACCTTTGGTCTATTAAAGAAGACTTTTACTACTTGAATCACACAATATGTAGTAAATATTTTGTTTTAATTTTACTTATTTAAATTGCACACGATGCGTGTGTGCCAATTGCTAGTATCAATAAGGTGGGTCTCATCTTATTCTTTTTGCTAGAGATCTCCTTTGGTTGCATATTCTTTTTCTTCTTGTAGAGATCAGGTGTTGACAACATTGGTGGTAATTTCATCTATTCAATAAATTTTGCTGAAACTGTCCTATTTTTCTTCTGTAGACCTTTTCAGAAAATTCTTCCTGGACTAGTTGTTGACTTCGTTTATATTTGGCAGGCGCTTCTACATTCTGTTCCATTTGGGAAGATGATAGTTCTTGATTTATTTGCTGATGCCAAACCCATATGGAATACATCCTCTCAATTTTATGGCACTCCTTATATTTGGTAGTGAGCCCTTTTATTTAAAGTTGCCACATTTTCTGTCTTTTGAGATGTTACATCTTGGCATGTATCTCTTCCAAATCTTCATTACCTATCTGTTTATTGAAGCTTAGGCTTTAATTTCAATGGTCTTATTTATTTATTTTTATGTAACCACATATATACACACTAAGTGTAACTTATGATATATGTCAGGTGTATGTTGCACAACTTTGGTGGGAATATTGAAATGTATGGCATATTGGATTCAATTGCTTCGGGTCCAGTTGACGCTCGTGTTAGTGCAAATTCAACCATGGTAAGTAATTAGTTATTACAATTATTCATAAAAGAATGTCTTCTTTCTATCTGTTATATTTTCCTGGGATCATAAACTTATTGTTTTCTACATTTGTTTGTGCAACCCGATGCAGAAAGTAGTAAATCTGTTGCATGAAATATATTCTGAGCGTTTTTATCAATCTAGATAACCAGTGTAGGTGCCGCATTCCACGCATCCTTTCTCGTCTCCAAGATTTTTAGGAAGTTGAAATGTCAATTATTGTATAGGAATTGTGTCAAAATGATAATTGACTAGTTCAAAAATAGATAATTGAAATGTTAAATAACTTTACCACCAAGAGTACGAAAGACAACTTCATATTAATGACCTACCCATTCCAATGAAAAATTAAATATAAGACATATACCCATATATTTGTAAATATTAGATTACATTATATATTGGGAAAATTATATCAGTTGTCCCTGCATTTTTCTTATTGTGTTATTTTGGTCTTTGTAATTTCAATTAACTTGATTTTGATCCTTAAATTTATATTTTGTGTCAATTTGGTCCAATTGATAACAATAATTAGGACTTTTGAAGAAAAATGATCACTAAGTTGGTTAAGCTTAACTCATTGAGTTGAACAAGTTTATAATTTTTCCTATAAAAACATAACAAATGCCGCTCATGTGTGCATTTTCATCAAAAAACACTAATAGTTGTAATAAATTGGACAAATTTAAGACAAAATCATAAATTCAGGGTCAAAATCGAGTAAACTGAAATTATAGAGATTGAAATGACACGAGACTTAAAATATAGGGACTATTAACATATATATATATGATATTATACTGCTTATTCAATAAAGGGTAAATTACGCCATTAGTCCGTCCCTATAGTTTAAGTGAACTGCCACTTTAGTCCCTGTAGTTTAATTTAAACAATTTGGTCTCTAATTTTGTTGTAATGTGGTCCCTCCGTTATTTACTGTTAGAATTTGGAACGGAAAAAGACCATGTGTAAAACTAGAGGGACTAAAGTAAAACTTAAAATAAACTACAGGGACCTCTGAAGAACGGATATTCCAAAGAAGATGTACGAGTATCGGATACGGATACGGATACGGATATGGATACGGATACGCGTCCGATACAACGGGATATGTATCGGATATGGCAAATAAGTATTCGATTTATTTATTTATTTATCTTAATATTTAATTTTGGATACGAGAGCGATACGTGAAGGATACTTGAGGGATACGGGAGGATACATGAGAGGATACACCAAATAAGTATCCAATTTATATTTTTTTTTCCATTTTTTTTATTTTTATATTTTTTCTCCCTCGCTTTCTATTTTTTAATTTCTTTCTATTGTTGTTTTATTTGATTATTTAGTTTTGGATATTATGCCTTAGTGCTATTCTTATCATTGCTTTATTTTTTAGCCTATTGTTGTTCTTTAAATTTCCTTGAATATTTGATTGAATTCTCTGTTACTGTTTGTTGTTAATTCTTTGTCAGTATGCCTAGTTATTAATTAATTGCTCTTTGATGAATATAAAATTCTCTTTTTGATATTAAGGAATATAGTACTAAATATTTTACGAATACACTCTTGCATTATGTTTTATTTTATACATACTACATTACTAAAATTATAAAAAAAAATATTTTACAAGCGTATCATTGCCATACCCGTATCCTACTTTTTAAGTTTTGCCGTATCGCCGTATCCGTATCGGTATTGTATCGTACCTATATTCTGTATCCGTGCTTCCTAGACAGGGACCATTGGTGTAATATATTCATTACATTGGTGGTTCTTATAGTTTGTTTTGAATTCTACTTTGGTCTCTCTAGTTTTGTACTTGATTTTTTTTCTATTCAAAATGTTAACAACACATGACGGAGGGGCCACATTGCAACAAAATTGAAAGTGTGAGAACCAAATTGTTCAAATTGAAACTACAAGGACCAAAGTGAAATTTTACTCAATCTAGAGGGACCAATGGTGTAATTTACCCTTCAATAAATCAACATTTGTAGGTGTGGAGTTTGGAAATGAAACTTCAGGGAAAAAAAAGTTGAGCAAAATTAAGGCCCAAAGGCTAGCTTTTCATGATAATAATTTTCAAAGAAAATAAAAATAAAAAGAAATCCAAGTGAAGGGTTATGATCTTTTTATGGTTTTGTTGTCCATATCTCTTTGTCTGCCTATGTTTCTGGACCTTGTTTGTCAATTTAGGTAGTTGAATGCATGATTTTATAAGGAGCCAGGTCATGCTTTTCCTATATCTACAGAGCTTCTAAGGGCCTAATGTTACTAAGCTAAAAAGCATGGACATGGGGGACACTGGACACTTACCCCAAAAAAAAAAAAAAAAATTATATATTTATTATATGTCTCCCAAGTATTTAGGGTCTAAAAAATGTCTTAAGAAAAATAAGACATGTTTGGACGAGTGTCCAACACGTGTCAGAAAGTGTCCAACACTGACGAGTCACCTTCTTACTCCACAATAGGTATAAGAGTCCTGAACCTCCAGTGGGTATAGGATTAGGATTAGATCTTACACCTGCAAACAATACTGCAATGGGCAGCTACCTGCTTTCTGCACCTGCTTGTCTCTTATTTGGCATCAAAATTGAGTTGCCTTGCATAAATTTGACAGTTGAATAGTCAATTTATTGCATTGTGTCATTCAGAAAACTCTTTTCTTTCAAACTACATTTGTTTTCTTCTCTCTTTATTTTTCCCCCCAAAAAATCTTGATGTGTTGCCTAGCTAATTCTGGATTGCTCTACTGCAATTAAAGAATGGTTATGCCGGATAATGAAGGCGATACTCACATCACGACATTTGAATCATTTTTGTATTCTCTTATCTCCACCCATCACATGTATGTTCTGTGGAAATTCTGAGGAATTATGATTTCCATGCTGAAGAAATTATATCCATAAATTATCACATCCTTCTGCAGGAAGGGTGGGGGGGTGTTAATAGCTGACAGTTGGAATTTCTTTTCAGATTGAACCAGACAACTTAGCAGCTGAAACAAGAAAAAATCAGATAACGATAAGAGATTTTGAAACTTGTATTCATCAATCTGTTCATTGAACCTTGTCATTGGAATCTAGGGTGTTAATTAGTAATTATTTTATTATGAATGACATAAAGGATCTAGTATCTAATAAGAACATAAGGTTTCTAACATTGGCATACAGGCATAAAAATGAACATGTCAATGCTCCAGGGAAACTTCAATCATAGTGCTTGTCATTTATTTGTTATACTTATACTGATTGCCTCATGTACATAAAATACAAGAGAGTATTGTATTCAAGTGGATATCATTATCTCCATCCACGTCTTTTTTTTTTTTTTTTTTCTTTTTCTCATAGAGCTCACCTGTTATTCTTGTTTCACATAGGTTGGTGTTGGCATGTGTATGGAAGGAATAGAACAAAATCCAGTAGTATATGAGTTGATGACTGAAATGGCATTTCGAAAACACAAGGTTCAAGTTCAGGTAATTGAAGTTCTCTAGATGCTAATCCATATGTGCTGGAGGACTTTTACATGCATTTAGTGTCTAATAATGGTCAGCATCTTTCACCTTTTATAACTATGTGCAGGACAGAGTCCATTAGATTTGTGTATTATACACAATGTTACGTGGACTCTTTAAAATAAATCAAATACCCATATCAAACATTTAACTCTTGGACAAGGGTATGTGATATGTGTATGATACTTTCCATTGAATACTTCTTATATATGTGTATTTAACACTATCATTATATATATATATATATATTGTTGTATAATTGTTATAAAATGAGTAAAATGTTTTTTTGACATTGTTTGTACATATAACACTACTAACATAATAGATTAAAAATATAGAAATATAATCCTTTTTAGCCGAGTGCAAGTATTCTTAAATTTGAGGATTGATTGGTCCGACTTCTAGATATGCACCCGCACCCACACAACCACACCCGACACCTGACACCCATACCCGAGTCCATTTAATGTAAGATAGATTATACAAGGGCATTGACATAAGTGCAGGGCCAGCCCTGACCTAAGGTAGGTAAGGCTTGTGCCTTAAGCCCCAAATTTTGGCCCAAAAATAGGGCCCCCAAATTTAAAAAATTGTTAGGCCCAACTTTTTTTTTTTTTTTTAAGATCAATTAAGGGCCCTCAAATTTAATAAATTGTTATAGGCCCAATCTTTCTTTTTTTTTGTTTTAGGATCAATTTAAAGGGCCCCAAAATCTTTTATTAGGCCCATGTTTGGTTTAGTCCATATTTATGTGGTTTGGCCCATATTTATTAAAATAAAAATATATAAAATAAATAAATAAATAAATAAAGTGTTTGGGCCCAACCCAAACTATACATACAATATACATACTTCAGTGCACTGCTATGGTGTGCTTCTGCTTTCAATCTCTCTCTTTAACGAAGTGATGAAATGAAGATGGAAGTATGTACACCAAGTTGAAGGCAGACGCAGAGCACAGCATTGTGAGCGACTCACTCTCTCTCTTTCACACACTCCTCCGGTGATTCACTCTTTCTCACACACACTCTCTCTCATGGTAAGTCCTCTCTCTCACTATCAAATTTTATTAAATAAAGTTGCCCTAATTTTTTTTTCTATATTCTTTCTCTATCAATTAGTGGAATAATAAATTTGCCCTAATTTTTTTGTTACCTCCTTTATCCATTAGATTTTAGTGGAATAAATAGTTTAGCCCTAATTTTTTTACCTAGATATTTATCAGTTATAATTGAATAATTTTTTTGCCCTAATTTTGCTTCATTAAATTGTTTTTTTTATAATTTATTTGCTATCAGATCAGTGGATTGTGATTTGTGGATTGAAGTGTTTGTGATTATAGCCATGTTTCCTAAGAAGTTTTTCAAAGTTAAAATTGATCAAATCTTACTTTCGATCAACAATGTCACAAGAAAGATTGAATGGATTAGCTATATTGTCTATTGAAAAGGATTTGGTAGATAAATTAGATTATGCAAACTTAATTAGTGATTTTGCAGCTAAAAATGCAAAAAGAGTAGTATTTAAGTGATCGTTGGTTAATTGTAAATTGGATATTGCTAAACTATAAAGCAATAAAACCAGTTTTTGATGTTTTTGAGTCATTTTACTGATTTCTTCCTAGCTTAATATATAAAAGTAAATTTTAGTTTATAATTTTAATGATTATATGTTCAAGTATACTTAAATAAATTTTTTTTGGATACTTATCATTTTGTGCATAAATTTTTTATTAAAAAAAATATACATTAAAGGGGCCCCATTTTTATAGTTTGTCTTAGGCCCTACAAATCTCAGGGCCGGCCCTGCATAAGTGGTGTCAATGATTTCTATTTGACGAAAAGTTTTAGATTGTAATGTAATTACATCTTTCTTGGCAAATATGAGAGTGTTTATTTGTTTAGATGTATTATGCACAATAAATTTTACTGGCATTTATACACAAGTCGTAATTTATGAACTTATAATTTATTAAGTCCTAACTAAGAATTTTTGGACCTTCAAGTCCCATTAAATTTTTAATAATCGGAATTGCCCTTCAAACAATGATTATTCATCATTTATGATTATCTATAAGGAACATGATGATTTGACATTTATTTTGATTTTTAAAACTTTAAGACATCAACTTTCAAATTGAAAAAAAAAAAAATAGTAAAATAAAAAACTATGTTGTTTTTTGAACAAATTGAATTATTTTTTGTGCAAACCTGAAAATTTTGTGTCTATAAAGGAGCATGATGATGGAACATTGATGTGCAAAACTGAAAAAAAAAAAAAAAAAACTATAAATATGAAAAAATTGATAATGTTCTCAGTTTTAAAATGGAAAAAAACTGATAATTTTCTTAGTTATATTGGATAGTTGAATCAAACCAATGAGTAGAAGGACAAAAATGTTTAATCTCATGCTTTGTTTTTTTTTCATCAGTTAGTGAAACAATTATTGTGAACATTACTATGCAAAATTTATAATGTTCTTAGTTTTAAAAATTGGGAAAAACTGATAATATTCTCAGATTTACTAAATAGGACTTATTGGTTCAAAAAATCTTAGATAGCACTTAAGCTACCATAACATTTGTAAATTGGACTTTTAGGTAATTAACTCTAAATTTTATAATATGATAGGACTCTTTTTCGCGTTGTTTTTGCCTCCATGGTTGTACTTTTTTTTTTTGAACGGAAACTTCATTCCATGGTTGTACTTGAAGAGGGTGGAAACTTCATTGCATGAAGTGGGAGTGTGAGAGCGTGGCCACTTAGAGGAGTTGTAGTTTGGGAGCGCTTTTATATTATTTTTATTAAAATTATTTTTAATTTACCTACATGAACTTTGTTATTTTTAATTGACATATATATATATATATATATATATGTTATAAACGAGTTTTAAATTTTAAAATATAATATTTAATTAATTAAATACATCATAAAACATATTTTTTAAAAATGAATATCGGATAAAAATTCATTCTAAACATAAGAACAAAATGAATTAATAAATTTAAATATTATAAGAACATTTTAATTCATTCTTATTAATGCTATCATTAAAATAGCTGTCTATAAAAAAAAATAATAGGCCATTATCATTTAAACTTTAAATTATAGAGATCAAAAAATTAATAAAGTGATATTATTGAAACTTCAAAACATAGAGACCAATAAAAATAGTGGAGTTATATTCTTGAATCTATAAAACACATAGACCAATAAAAGTAGTTAAGTAAAAGGAGTGAACTGATATTATTGAAAATACATTATCTTTAAATAAAATATTATATAATAAATAATCCATTAAATAAAGCGTAAAACTCACTGAGAAGAAGAAGAAGAAGAAGAAGAAGAAGAAGAAGAAGATTAAGAGAAATCGAAAGAGGTCGGGCTTTATTCTTGGACTAATTCGTGATTCTTACGCGATTCTTCCTCAGAAGCACAGATTCGTGATTTTCCCTCAGGTGCGTCTTCATGTTTCATGATTCCTACTACTAAGAGTGGAAATGAGGTATCGTCTAATGTGCTGCTTTTTTTTCTTTTACTTATTAAGGGGAAAATTGTAAAAGAAGCTCTATATTGACCTTTGTTTGTATGAAAACCTATTGGAAGTCTTATATGACTGGTTGAAATGTTGATTATGTTGAGATTCAATACAGACTCTAGAGGTTGCCACATGAATCTAGAAGACTCCGGAAAGTTCTAGAGAAATCTGGAAGATTCTAGAACATTTTAGAAGAATCCAAAACCTTGGAGAAGTTTGGAGAAATCTAGAAGCTATGGAGTATGGACACGGATACGGACACGGTGATTTCAAAAAAAATGAGCATATGGATATGGCGGGGGACACGACAAATAATTATTATTTTTACTATATATATATATTTTCTCTATGTAGATTAATATTATCTTACCAAATAATTAAAATTAATAAAAACTAACATTAATTCAATATATATAAACACTACATTTAAACAGATTAATAGATTATTCATATTTGAATGGTTCTCGGTGTGTCCCTGCCGTGCCCCCTGCAAAAAAAAAAAAAAAAAAAAAAATTTACGGGGACATGTTGTGTCCCCTGCGAAAAATAAAAAATAAAATAAATACGTGTTTCCGTGTCCGACATTGCTACGACACCTATTTTGAAGTGTCCGTGCTTCATAGTCTAGAAGGTTCCGGAAGGTTCTAAAATATTTTAGAGAAGTATAGAAAACTATACTACATACTAGAGTAGTTTACATAATTCTAGAGTATAGTGGAAGTACGAGTGAATGCTAGAATATTCTAGAAGCAAATTTTTCACCACTGATTTTGTGGATGAGGCTTATTACTAGAAACTTCTTCACTAGTGTAAATATGACATGAGTTAATGTACTAGGCATTGAGTGATCAAACACTACAAGAGTGATCTAGTGAGAGGTGTCCTAAAGTCTTATGTGAGGAAGAGCAAAGTCCAAGTGTGAGTGAATAAGTGAGGTGTATTAGGGTGTGGTTGTGTACTAGTATTTTGTGTACTCATGTGTTAGTTATCAATAAAAGTTGTATTTTTAGGTCCACTAGTGTGTCAAACTCAACAACTTCTTATTCTTTTTGAAATGTCCTCGTTTCATTATATTTTTTATCTGCCAATTAAAAAAAAAAATTGTAGTTTAAATCAGTTCACAATTCTGTTGTTTTAGTGTTCTTATTTGTGTATGATTCATGACTTGGACATATGGCAGTTGCACTTTTTTATGAACATAGAGTTCTACTTATTTATTCATAGAGGAATATATCAAGATATTGTTTCTGAAAACTGCTTTGCATCACTTCAATTAAAAATTTGATTGATGAATAAGTATATTTAGGTTCATATAATTTTTGGTCTTTTCCTCTGCATTCTGCAATCCTGAAATTTTTGTTATTAAGCTTTTGGGGTTTGTGTGATCTTTTGTATTTTTTGTCTCACCATTTAGAAGTTTCAGAAATACTGGAAATGGTTCACAAAATGAAATATGGAAAATAAGTTAGTTCGAATCACAATCACATAGAAAATTATGTGCAACCACTACAGCACACTAAGGGTTGGTTTGGCATCTCCTATATAATCCATCTTTTTATCTTTTTTCCATCACATCACCTCTCTACTTGTCTGCACATCTTTTCGTAAAAAGACAAAAAATGCACTTTTTTAGGACAACCCAAACCAACCCTAAATGGTAAAAAAAAAAAAAAAAAAAACCCCTACCAAAAAAATTTACTTAAAAAAAAAAAAAAAAAAAAATCATCCTAGATACCCTCGAGGTTCATGCTATAAAAATCATAGAATTTAGGTTCAGATTAACTTTAAAAATAATCATGTGTGTTTCATGTGAAAATCCAAATCTGCCCTCATAATCAAGGTGTGTTCTTCCCATGCTTTGCAGAAATCTAATGTTGTGAGAAAATATTAAGAATGTTGTCACTGAGAAAGAAGAGCAGTTAAAATAGAAATTTCATTTTAAATCTGTTTGGCCATTTTTCCTTGTTTAAGTAAATATTTACAATGTTTATGTAACAGTTGCCTTTACTCTTATGCTAGTAGTAACATATTTTATTTTATGTTATTTTTTGTGCATTAATGACTGCTTGAAGTAGTGCAGTGTCACAAAATAATCGCATTCACATTACATTTGAAGACCTACCAGCTTCTTTGGAGTTCAGAGAACTTAAGTTTTCACTTATTTGAATTTGAGACCTTTTTCATTTTATTGTTTAAATCTGAAAAGAAAAATTTTCAGTTTTGGAAAGTATCTTTTCATCTTGTAGTATTTAATTTTCCCTTTACTTTTTACTATGAATTTCAAGGTGGAAGTTCCTTTAAGAATTTCTGCTTAGGTGCATGATGATTTCCATTTTAAGAATATCAGCACTTAAAAGTGAGTGTAATTGCTGACATTTTACTTTATTAATTGTGTAGCAATGGCTGAAAAGCTACTCTCAAAGACGTTATGGTAAAACAGTTCATGAAGTTGATGCAGCTTGGGAGATTCTTCATGGCACCATTTACAATTGTACGGATGGAATTGCTGTATGTTTTCTTGAACAAATCAATTTACAGTATCATATCTCTGTTTCAGTATTATCTACTGTCAGAATTTTTGTTTAGACTCTAATTTTTTGTGAGTCAACTTACTCGATATCTTGCATAACAGGAAGGAGTTACTTATTAAAGAAATGAGGAGAGAATAAATCTCTAATTTCAACAAAGTAGTTTTATATTTGTTCCAGTACTAGATAAAACGAGGATATTGAAAAATAAGTGAAGAATACATTTAATTTATGAAGTAATTTACAGCTGTAGGACATTTCTCTTTATGTACAAAAGAATTATAACCTCTCATGAATGCCTTTTTAGATCCTTCAAATGATGTAATACAATACCTTTTTTTTCCTTCTTCTTCTGAATTTCAGTAGATAAGTTAACAGCTATATGTGTAGCATGGTTATGCTGCAGGTTGGTCTAAACTGATTACTTCTTTTCTTTTTCTTTTTTTATTTTTAAAAAATAATAATAATTTGTTGCAGGACCATAACATAGATTTCATAGTTAAATTTCCAGACTGGGATCCATCGCCTCTTGGAACATCTGAAATATCAAGGCAAGACCATATGCAAAACGTTCTCGAACCACACAAAAACAGAAGATTTCTTTTCAGCAAGACAAGCTCTCCCTTACCTCAGGCGCATTTATGGTATCCTACTCAGGATGTTGTCAATGCATTAAAGTTATTCCTTGATGCTGGAAGTGATCTGAATGTAAGCCTCACATACAGGTAATTACATATGTAGGACCTTGACCTTGACATTCCCCTCTCTCTGTTATTCCTTTTTCTTTCTGTTCCTTTGTATCTTACCGAAAGAAGAAAGAAAAAGGGATAACAGAGAGAGGGGATGTCAAGGTCTCACATACAGGTAATTACATATGAAGTGATCTGTTATCTCAAAAGAAAAATTTGTTGGTTCACTCTAGAGCATAAGTTGGCTATGTGAAGAATATACCGAACCTATAGTCACCAAATCTTTAATTGATCTATTACAAAAAGAAAAAAAACATTTCCCAAAGTACAATGGCATGGAAAGAAAGAACACAACATTTGTAATGCTTACTTTGATATAGTTTTAGTTGACGAAACAAGAAAAGGATGTACAGTAACAAAACCATGAATGAATGTAGAGTAAATCGAAGTCAGCTTTCTATTCTAGTTGTCCCTTTCCTTGTCCACATCATTGAAGTGCCACCACAATATTAGGGTAGCTAGAAAACCCCTTATCTCACAGCTCCCTTTAAGTAAATGAGAATATGACACCAGAAATATATTAAGTGTTGGGAAACTATGGGTCAATCACAAAATATAGTTGAATTAAAGTCGGTGTTGGGAAACTATGGGTCCAATTAAAATTGGCTTGTTTATCTGAAAACATGAGGGTTTTGCACTAATGGTGGAAATGATGAAGAAAAGAGACAAATTTCAGACAGCACTAATATGTTTATATTTTTGACAGGTATGACTTGGTTGATTTGACTAGACAAGTACTATCAAAGCTAGCAAACCAGGTATATTTGGATGCAGTGACAGCTTTCCGAGACAATGATGGAAAAACTCTGAGTTCCCAGAGCCACAAATTCAAACAACTCATCAAGGACATCGATAAACTTCTTGCTGCCGATGATAATTTTCTACTCGGAACTTGGCTAGAAAGTGCAAAAAAGTTGGCTTTAAATCCTAGTGAGATGAGGCAGGTACGAATGAAATGACTTTTCCTCGGGTATTTAATAATTTATGTTTAATACAAAAGTTTGTTCCTCTAGTACTTCTCCATTTGTTGAAAGAATGAAAAACAAATAAATAAATGAATAATCAACAGCCTAACAAATTATTGCCTTTTCCTTTTCCCAATTTTGTCAGTATGAGTGGAATGCTAGGACACAGGTGACAATGTGGTTCGATACTACAATATCTAATCAGAGTAAACTTCATGATTATGGTAAATTAACTCTCTCAGTGATATTCATGCTTTGCTTTTGGTGCAATATAACAATTTTCACCTATCCATGACAGCAAACAAGTTTTGGAGCGGCCTGTTAGAAGGGTATTATCTGCCACGAGCCTCCACTTATTTCAGTCATTTGTTAAAAAGCTTGGAAGAGAATGAAAGCTTCAAGATGGAGGACTGGAGAAAAGAGTGGATAGCATTTTCCAACAAATGGCAAGCAGGTACTGAACTTTACCCTTTAAAGGCTGAAGGAGATGCCTTTGCTATTTCAAAAGCTTTGTTTGAGAAATATTTTGGCAAAGACATCGCCTGACTGAGAATGTAAATAACTGAAGATGTACATTGGTCATAGTTGTTCCCAATTATTGTAATAATACAAATTTGAACCCCTAAGATCTTGAGATCAGTTACAATGACATTTGTGATCATTCTGTTTTGACCTTTGAAATTTCAGCAGTGATTCTAATACTTGGCCTAAACATGAACCATTGCTTTGGAAAAGCTGGCAGCCTTGGGTCATTTGAATGGTAGTGTTCTTGGGGATTGCCATTAAAATGAAAAATTGGATGATCATGAATGATGAAATGGCCCAACCATTTAGAACACCGGCATTTGACCACTTATGGAATTTGATTGAATGAAAACAATATCGAATTTGCTTTAGTAAGAATTGTGTGTGGAGAGAGAGAGAGAGATCAAATTGAGAGAGCCAACACAAATCCCCCAATTAGGGGTAAAACCCCCAAGGGCTAGAGAGAGAAACGAAACTCTACTCCAATCACAATGTATATTCTTTTAATCAAAATCCAAGTACAATGGAATATTACATCATCTATTTATAGATTACAACTAATAGACTATTTTACTTAACCTACTTATTCTACTACATTAGAGAGAGAGAGGTGCAGGGTGAGTGATGCAAAGATACTATTGATTTACTTTTAGGGACAAACTTGTGTTATGAACCTGCACGGGTAACTCAATGGTTGAGCATAGAATGAATTGTAAATGCAGACATTCTAAATTCGACTCTCATTAGCAGCAAAATTTGAGCTTAATTGATAATACACTTTCTACATATATGCCAACATTAACATTTCTCTTTTATTAAAGGTGAATGTAATGGTTGAGAGAGATGTACACAAGAGTAAATCATGCAAGAATCTACAGAATACACCCCCCCCCCCCCCCCCCCCCCTTAAAAAAAAAAAAAGAAAAAAGAAAAAAAAGTGTTCATTCTTAAAAGACAACAAAAATAAAAAGGATAAATAATAATAAAAACTGGACATTGTGGTATATGTTTGTTTCTTCCTACATCCTAAACCAGCTCCATTAGTAGAGGGTCTCCAGCTGCCATGACTCTTATCAATTTTATGAACTCAGGCTCACTAGAAACATTCCATGGGTGCACAGCTGGTGCTTGAGCAGAATACAAGTGTGAAGAGTCATTTGATTGTGCTTGTGTCTCATAAATCATTATATTAAGCACAGGGTCAAAATTTTGTGGTGAATCCATAGCCATGAAGAACATAGGCATTGCAACCTTGTGGTGGAGTTCGAGATTGCCCACTTGATCTACAAGATCAATTAAGTCTGCCACAAAACGCTGAGGAATGTAGAACACCTCAGAACTGCATATGGTGAGGCTTTGCTCACTCGGGCCACTTTCTTTGTAATTAACCTGCAAGTGGACGGGCATTGTGCTCACCAATTTCTTCACCATATCAGCTTGTTTTGAATACCATACCGAGTCATTCCCAGTAATTGGCAGAGTAGTCCAAGACTGCAGAACCTGCAAAAGACAAAACTTGAGAGAAAGAGAGAGAGAGAGAGGTTTGTGCTAATGACACCAATACTAGAGGCTTAGATTACCTTGTTGGTGATCCAAAGCTTTGATTTGTCTGCTTGCAACAAATTCCAGTAGTTGAGAATGGTATTGTCCTGAAGGAACAGGAATCCTTCCACACTAGTAAACCTGTTAAATATCTTCGGCAAATACCTGCCGGCGATTTCCAGAAGGGTAAAGAGAACAATGAAAAAGATTTTCTCCACGTAAAGTATATATCAATAATTGGTGTAAAATGAATGATCTGAATCGAGAAACAGGTATGCAAATTCACATTATTCCATATTGGTTGAAGTTGGTATCAAGCATGAACACAATGTTACATTTTTTACCGCTCCTGTTCTGAAATGTCCATGAAAGAAAGTAATAGCGGTAGCATAATTTAGATAAACCTAGAAAACAGTTTGAAATAGTTTCTACTAACAAAAATGACCGAGCAATGTTTATGAGTAACATATATTCTATAACTAGATAAACCCCACTTCAATTCTTTTGGTGTGTTGTAAGTAGTACCTAAATTTTTATAACCTTGAACTTCATAGGGAATATTTTTTGCCGGACAAGGTCCCATGGTTTTGGACCTAGTGGTCGGTTTTTTATGTTACAATATCTTGTGTTCATGTGGTTGAGTGTGTTGCTCTTTAAAAATTGCTCAGAATTATTTGGAATCATTACTATTAACTAATCAAAATTTCAAGATGAGATAATGTGTGCTGGATTTGTATTTCAAAATAAAATAGGTTATAACTTGATAGCAATTTGTGATAATTAATCATCATGTTGCGTTATGTGAACTTGCAAATTCCCCTACTGCTGAAATGAGTTAATTTCTGCACTAAAATTTAATTGAGTTTTGGCTAAGTTTAACTTGAAAAATCAGTATTGCAATAGTGATTGGCGAAACATGACTCCCAACAAAAACCCAAATGGAAAAAAAAGAAAAAAAGAAAAAAAAAAAAGGTGATCTCCTAAAAGAATTTCTAGTTACGATTATATTGCAACTTTGAGTGTTTTATGAGTAATTGGAGGTCATATGATGTTGGATGCCAGAGGACTGTTCTTTCTCGGTTTTGTCTTTGGTGTGGTTCATAGATGATTGGTAAATGCCAATAGATGTATAACGTGTATCCTGTGGCTTTTTGTACAGTTCAACCCGTTTAAGGCAATTTTTCCCCCTAAAAAAAAGTTTGTTCTGTTCTATCAAAGTCAGCATAATTTGTACATTAATAACATCACATGTATCATCTATTGCTATTCTAAGCCTATTCTGAACTAGACTAGATCTAACACTTAATGGAAGTTCATTCCAACCATCTAACCCTTGAAGCAAATCCAAATGAAGCCATCTAAGTGGTGCATAAATATTCAATAATATTCCTCAATTTCTCACTCATCTATCTCAACGTCATTGTAGTAACATGAACATTTCAATTCTTCTTAGCTTGAGAATCGGTTTTATAACATGTTAAGTAATTTTATAAGAAACACATATCAAACAAGTGGAATGCACTGCTTAACAATGATTCCCATATCCTTCCCAATCTCAAAGTTCCATTCATGCCCATCAAATTGTGATTTCCAATTTGATAGTTTTGTCACAGGGTTATAAATTTTAAAATAATAGTCAAATTCCATTTTTTTCTCAATCACAAAGTAAATACTTAATAAGTATAGATATTTAATTTTAGGGTAAACTACCAATAGGTCCTAATAGTTAGATTTAATTCCCATCAAATCCTATTGAAAATAAATCTTGATAAAATTGTTGCTAAAAATAATTTTTTTTGTAATAATTTTTTATATATGTCGCTAAAAATTGACAATTTGTGACTTTTTTTATCATGATTTTCATAAATTGTCGCTAAAAATTACAATTAGTGATTTTTTCATGACAAATTTTTTCCATAAGACCTATTAGACAACAAATCCACTTATTAGGACCTACATGTAAGTACCCTTTTATTTTATTCATTTCAAAATTTCAATGTCAACAACTAACTTCGGCCTCGTTTGGGAACAGGCTAATTTAGTAACTTTTTGGCTATTTGGCTAAAAAGGTAGGTAAAAAAAACTTATATGTTTGGGATGACTTTTTGGCTAATTACGAAAAGATGTGCAAAAAGTAGAGAGAAAAGAGAATCTTTGACTTTTTGGTATGAGTTGTTGGCTTTTTGGCTAAAATGGTAACTTTTTGACTTTTTGGCTAAAAATGTAAGTCCCCAAACGAGACCTTCATAGACGAAAAGCAAATGAGGTTAACAACCTAGGTCTATTGAAGGAATGGAACACAAAGGAAAATAGTTTTAGTTATTTATTTATTTATTTTGCACTGCGGTTGCAAGGATCCTACACTATTGGCAATTGTATTTTAATTATTTTAATGTGCACATATAGAACCAAGGTCCCTTGAAGCATTCTACAGATAAACTTATCTCCACCTTTGTTATTTAACCTAGCAATGCTTCCATTTACATGACTAACAATACATTTTCAAACTTAAAAAAGGTTTTGCTCATTTTATGCTATGTGGACAGGTGATGTTGATGTATCAAGAAAAAAAAATATAACATTAAAGGGCTATTGATATATTGATGATTTGATAGACAAGCAGCCTGAATTTTACTATGAACTTAGAAAGCAAGAAATGCCACTAAGGAACTGATACTATATTCACAGAGATATCAATTGGAATATTTGTATGTTGGAATAAAGGGAAGTATATCATAACCAACTTACTTGTATACTTGATCCAACTGACTTTGCTCAATTGCTAGGTCTGCATCAGCTTGCATTGATAGAATAATCACGGTTTTAAATACCCGGCCATAAAGCAATCTCCATTCCAAAGCAGTGCGTTCCACAGGCCCACTAACAAACATGATGAGCACAACATTGCCAAAATTCTTCCTCCACCGAATCAGATTCCCAATTTCGTAATTCACTGTTCCTGATTCTTCTACCCCAAGATGCACAGATGGTAGCTTTTGAGGAATGAATTCTCTTCGATCACTATCAACAATCATTGCCCTTTGCTTATCCAACTCTATCGCCATTAAACTTGGCTGCAAGTACCCAACAGAAATCAAATCCTGAAGCCAAGCAGCTGTGAATTTCACATCCTTCTCAGTCCAAAAACCTTCTTTCGCCATTGAATAGCTCAACTCCAATATTCTCTCAGACAACATGTGCTTATCAGACTTCCATGAAACCAAAAAATTAACAAGACGGCCTACATTTACATGGAGATCTTTCTCTTCTGAAAATGGGTATGTTTCTGTTTTATCATGTCTATGAATGGTTGGAGGACAAACCATAACAAACCCTCCAATTTCCCACAAAAGCCTCTGTGCCCAGTAACCTCTCAGTACATCAGAAGCCATAGTACTAACAGAAACAGGAAGCATCAAAGCCCAAAATGCATTATAATGAAACATTGAATTGAAAGAATTCATTGGCACCATTATACCTCTAGGCAAAGCAACTTTTGGGGCATGCTCATCAAACCTTATATCAAATGGTTCTGCACCTGACTTTCGGGTGGAATAGAAAACCGAATCTACATCGGGTAAGCCATTGGATATACCTTGCTGTATATATTGCATTCCACCATTGACTTCAGTGTAAAATTCTTCATGCCCAACTTCACCTACATTCTCCAACGGCAAACCTCTAGGCCAAACTGACCTTTGCCCAAAATGAATATACGGATTCACAACGGTCCGATTCAAGTTCAAATGACTATATTGCAAAACTCTCTGATGTTTTGCAACTACACCTCCCAAATCCAAATCAAAATGCTTCCCAAGATCCCCACCAATCACTTCCCCGCGATCATCGGCATCAAAGATCCTCTTGGCACCGTGTTGAATGGCGAAAAGATACCCAACACTCTTCCTAACATAGGAATTATAAGGTAGGTAATCCACAACTCTGAAACCCAGATCAGCTTGTTGTTCAATTGACAAGAAAATTGCACCCTTTAGACTCCAATCCTTGGGAGTCCTCGAATTACCCACTGCAAGAACTTGCCAACCCTTCATTTTAACAAGATTAACAAGTGAATCGGAAGGGTAATGGGACACAGAAATCACAACCCATTGGTCAGAGCGAAAGGAAGAGAAAGGAGAGGAGTTATCTAGAATGGGCGGGATTGAATTGTAGTGAATTTCAGGGAATTCGATCTTTTGGGGTTGTTTTGATTGGCGGGTTGTTGTGAAGCAGAGAAGGGCAGAGGGGTCGCCAGCGTTGCGTAGGAAGAAGAGGGCGGCGACAGTGAGAGCTAGGAGAGAAATGGCGAATATTTTTGAGAAATTGTCGGATACCCATGTCGAGAAATCAAGGTTTTTGGGGTTGGAGAAGCGATCTGAGATGAGGGTTGGCTTGGATTTGAAGTGGGGTTTTGAGCGTTTTGTGGGTGACTGGTCTTGGACTAACAATGAACCCATGATACATAAAGATCAAAGTTGTTGAATTCAAACCTGTTTCGAACTTTGTATTAGTCTTGAATTTGAGATCTCTCACTCTCAAAACCTCAAAACCTCAAAACCAAAACCAAACAGACACACACACACACACTCTTTTGTCTATGTGTATTGTCTGTGGAACCAACCAAGAAGCATGTGCTGTGAGTGAGTGAGTGTAGTTTGATGCTTATTGGATTTGGCTGCCGACAAAGTTTTTGTTGGCGTTAAGAAATATGCGAAATACTCGCGTATGCGTGTAAAACAACCTGTGCCCAATCGAAGAGGTCAAACCTGACAAAGGTAACTTGGGATTTCGATGGAGTTTAGGATGAAGTGTAGTTGTTTTCCTTCCTTTTTACAATTGAAAAATACTTGGGAGCACTAATTAGTGCTCCCACTAATTAGGTGGCAGTGGGTCTCGTCATTAATGATGTGATATTTTGGTTTTGGAGTTATATATATATATTTTTTAAACTTTTTTAATGCATTAGTGCTATTAGTGGTGATATTTTTAGTGGGATGAATCATTGTTGTTTACAATTCGTAGCTCTGGAAATTTATTTCCTTTTAATTTTTAATTTTTTTTTAAATTTTTTTACTCAGTTTGTATGGATAAAATAAATAGATAAAATAAAATAATCTTATGAATTTGTTTAGCTTGAAAATAGTGAAAAATAAGTTTCGTTTGAGATAGTTTTATAATGATGATTTGAGTATGAAGTTGTATTTTGAGATATAAGTTTTGAAAAGAAAAAATTTCTTTGGTTATGAATCTTGAAAAGAATTTTGAATTGTATTTTGAGTTTTGAGTTTTTTAATTTTGAGTTATATTTGAAAATTTATTTTTTTTAAATATTTAAAATATTTCATAATTTTAATTTTTTAGGATGAAGTTGTAGTTGTTTTCCTTCCTGTTTACAATTCGTAGCTCGGAAATTTATTTCCTTTTAATTTTTTATTTTTTTAATTTTTTACCAGTTTGTTTGTGTAAAATAAATAGATAAAAAAAAAAATCTTATGAATTTTTTAGCTTTAAAATAGTGAAAAATAGGTTTGTTTGAGTTAGTTTTATAATCATGATTTGAGTATAGAGTTTATTTTGAGATATAAGTTTTGAAAAGAAAAAATTGTTAGTATTAATCTTAAAAGATTTTGAATTGTATTTTGAGTTTTGAATTTTTCAATTTTGAGTTATATTTTAAAATTTATTTTTTTAAATATTTAAAATATTCATAATTTTAATTTTTTAGGATAAATATTTTTTATTATAAATATTTGTTGTTTTTTTACGCTTTTTTTACATGTGCATATATTTTTAAATATTTTAAATATTTAAAAAGAGTTGTAATTTTTTATTTCAAATATAAAACTTTTATTTTAAATATTTTTTTATTTTAAATATTTTATTTTATTTTTTAAAAATATTTGTTACTTTTTTATAAGATATTTAATTTTTTTAATTTTAAAAAATTTTGAATCACCCATATATATCTAAATCATAACAAATTATTTGGCCAATACTTAAAAAGATAACAAAATCTTTTTTTCAAAAAAATAAAAATAATAAAAAATATTTTCTTCAAAAATAAAAATAAATAATTTTTTGGTGAAATTTTATATATTTTCATAAAAATATAAAATAAAAAATAATTTTAAAGAACAAAATAAAAAAAATGATTTTTTTTTTTAAAAAAAAATAGTGCTTTGAAAAGAGTTTGATTATGAGTTTTGAAAAGAATTTTTTAATTGAGATTTGAGTTAGGGGTAGGCGCGGGTCGGTTGCGGTTACGGAACCTCCAATCCGCCATCCGTCCGCCAGATTGGTGGATTGGAGAAAATCAATCCGTATTCGTCCGCCAATCCGACGGATGTGGATTGAGCAGATTGGCGGTTTAGTGGATGGATGCGAATCGGTTTGGCAGTTTAAAATTTTATAAATTTTTAACATAATTCAACTTGTGCACTTCCTCAAAAAAAAAAAGAAAGAAGAAAGTATTACAGTTAATGACTTAAAAAAATATTACAATCATTGCATGCCTCATCCAAAGTAAGAAAGTTTGAAACTTTAGAATATTACAATCACTGCATGCCTCATCCACATACTACAATCACAGCATGTCTCATTCACATAAAGTATTATAATTTGTGGTTCTTAAAATATAAAAATAATTCAAACCACTAAAACCATGAACAGAGCAATAGTAGAGATTGTATGTCTTTGCATTGTTACATCTATGTCTGTTTTTGAAAACAAAAACCAATCAACATATATCATATTTTCTATTTATCATTATTTTTAGAGATGGATTTAAAAACCAAAAAATATAGCTAAATAATACATTTATTTTTTTAATTCAAAAAAAGATTTCAAGATATTCAAGTTGAAAACTTTTTTTCAACAGAATATTTAAATTCTTTTTTAATTGAAAATACAAACAGAATATTTAAACAAACTGAAAACACAAAATCTTATAAATTACTAGGGGTGCTCGCGGTTTGGCAGTTCGGCTGCGGCCAAAGGAATCTCAAATCCGTCATCCGTTCGCCAGATTGGCGGATTGGAGAAAATCAATCCGCAACCGTCCGCTCGTCATCACGCATCCGTTCAAAATGCGACGGATCGGTTCGGTTATGTCGGTTTTGGCAGATCGGTATATCCGTTGCTCACCCCTAATTTGAGTTGTGTGTGTGGTTATGAGTTTTGAAAATAATTTTTAAAAATTGAATTTTAAATTATATGTTTAGTTTTGAATTTTCAAATTTTTTGATTGGAATTAGGATTCCAAAACTAAATCAAATACTACTGAAGTTTTCATATTTTGCAAACTTTTTTCAAAAAATTATCTTTTAAAATTGATTATTAAAACCAAACTAAACGAGGCCTAATTTTCTTGTACAATATATTAGTATTGTAACTAATTTTTAATTGAGTAAATTGGCGATAAATCCAATATGAGGATTACTTGAGACGTTAGATCCAAGGATTTGGGAGCACAGCAGCCACTATTGTGTAGCCAAATGGGCCCATATTAGGGCCCATTTTGATGATCTGAGCCGTTCAAATTTTAAAGTACATCGAATAGAACATATATACAAAAAATCAAGTTAATAAAATATTGTTAACCCTTTTAGCCATTCACATTTGTATCTACAAAAATAAATAACAATTGTGATTTAAAGTATTAAAATGAATAAAAATGTGAGTGGATGAAACGGTTAACGATATTCGATTAACTTAATTTTTTACAGATCGATATAATTTAAAATGTGAACGGTTCAGATTATCAAAACAAGTCTCAAAACGAGCTCATAGAGTTGCACAACAGCCATTCCAAATCCTAGGTTCGATGCCTAATTTTTTTTGGTAAAAAATACACACTTTGTAAAATATTATAGTGAGAAGTATATTTCGTTATTTTGGAGAATATTTTATTTTCAATTTTTTCTTTTTCTGTTAAAATTTTTATTTTAACTTATATGTTTAATTTTTTTGAACCTATATGTTCAAATTTGTATTTATCTGTCAAAATTATTTTAATATTTTTTAATCTATCGGTTAAAATTCACCAAACTTATTTTCTCTATTTGTTGAAATTTACCAAACTTATTTTTCCTATATGTTAGAAATTCACTAAGCCGATTTCCCACATATGCTGAATTTTACTCATCTTTTGACCACCGTTTTGAACCAAAGATTACTTTTGGACTGTCTTCAAATTCTTTCTACAATCCTCAAGATCCAAGGACGTTCTCCAGGTCGCTACTCTTTCTCTCTCTAGGTGAAATTTCGATGATCTCCCTCAAAATCTCCAAAATCCAAACTTCTTCAACATTCAAATATTTGTCATTCCCTCATGTCCCTGTTCTTCACGCTCTCTCTTCTCTCACTTTTTCTCTAAAGAATAACAACAACAAAAACAATGAGAGATATCTTGCACATTTAGAGGGGCAACCAAATCGGTTCCAAGTTCTGGGAAGTGATCTGCGACGAGCATGGCGTTAAATATGATGACAAGTACAAGGCCCCTAATGGAGGAGAATCGTCCGATCTCTAACTCAAGAGGATCAACGTCTATTTCAATGAAGTCGCCGCCGGACGATACGTCATTCGTGCTATCTCCATGGATCTCGAGCCTGGCATGATGTGTTGGACAATCTTCAATGTATTCAAAGAAAGAATTAAAAAAATGAGAGAGACTGATCGATTACAAAAATCAAAACAGTATATAAAAAATAATTAAAACAATCGATTCTTATTTTGTTACAAAAACAAAATCAAAATATGATAAAGAAAAATAAACAGAAAAGAAAACTAATCACTTACCTTATTAGTTTCTCGAACAAATTTTTGATCAAGTCCAGTGTTTAACACTGTGTCTTTAAGACAGATTCGTCCTCCCTACGGTGCTTTCAAATTGTGGGCGTCTATCTCCCAAGATAAAATGATCAACAACGAATAGTAGCAGCACTACAAACTATGCGCACAATGAGCACACTTTGTGTTTACATTCTTTCTCACAAGAAAAATAATGCAGCAAAATGCAAAGAGCAATAGCAGAATTGAGGATGAAAAATTGAGTGAAAATCCAAATGAGGGACCTGTCTATTTACAGATGCAATAGTGGCTTTTCAGATTTGAATTCAACAAGTAGCAAACCTATTTGAACAGGTATAGTACCTGTTCGGTACTATTTGAACAAGTAAGGAATCTGTTTGGTTCAAATTTGAGTAGATACTAAATTTGTTCGGTTTAAATTAGATAGATATGAACCTGTTCAAGTGGAGAAATAAACTGGACACCATTTCAGAATTAAATTTCAAATTTTAAATTAAAAAAAGGTAAGAATTTAATTTTAGAAAAATAAAATTCAAAATGTTTTTAGTACAAAAAGATAAGCATTGGGCCAGACAAAGCCTAACCCAACCTTGCACCACGCACCCGTGCCCAAGCCCAGGCCCAGGCCCAGTTTAGCTTGTCCGACCGACCGGACAGACAGTGGCGGCGGCGGCGGCGCGCGCTTGTGTGTTTATTTTGGGTCCTATGGGTCTAGCCCATTTTGCCTATAACCTCACCCTTCCACAAAACTTAGGTACCCCTTGGGCCCTTCACAAGTTCCAAACCCAATACTTATAAACCTACACAAAGTTTGCCTACCAAACCAATGTGGGACAAATTTTAATTTCAACCTTTATGGAAATTTCACCAAAAATACCATTTCTATGGAGCTCACTTTGGCTTCAATTTCCCATTCACCTGATAATGGTTTTGAGC